GGAGGATAAGACCAACAAGTAGTTAGCATAATTATGGGAGAAGTCTGTTAGAAGGCTAATGGACTTTGATATTCAGCAGGGCTGAAAATCAGCATAATATTGCCTGCTGCTGGCAGAATGGCTGAAGGCAATCCCCTAATGGTTAGGGCCTAACCTGATAATCCTTTTATTGTTTACCAAACCTTACCATTGATACGGCTGTTTGCTTTGCTAAAGGGCAAATGTGTATTGTAGTAAATAAAAGCAAAAGGAACCCAAGATTCAGGGAGATTCTCCACTAGAGTGAAGTTTCCACCTGGCTTCCCATTACTTCTAAATTTATATTTCTTGTCTAGTGTATCTGTTTGTGTGCAGCCCCTTCTCCAGACCTTGAACCCTAGCCACAAATGGATTCAGCCTTCACAAATAAACACTAACTTTACAATTATTCAACATATGTGTATACATTTTTTGGGACACCCTATATACCAACTACAAATGCTAGAAGTCCTATAAGTAAATCCCAAATATGATAAATAAAATGAAAGTCACACATTTTTACATCATAATAAAATTACTAAATCAAAGGACATAATACTGAAAATGCAAGAGGAAAAAAAAAGCCAAATTGACTCCAGAAAAGTACACTTAGACCAGATATTTTCAACCCTTTTAATCTCATGGCACATATAAATGAATTATTATAATTTGGTGGTACACCAAAAATATGTTACAATATTTTTGCCAATCTGACAAAAGTAGGTATAATTTAGATTAATTCACACTGGCTGGCTATTGTCATTTTCTTAACCTATCTAATAAAAGACAAAAAGGGTAATTGACCGTACCTTCACTACACTTCCTATTGGCTAATCAGGGTGACATGCAAATTAACCGCCAACAAAGATGGCAGTTAATTTGCATACTAGGCTCCAAGCGGTGGAGCGAAGCCAAACGGCCCCGAAGCCAGCTGAGCAGCGAGGCCTCATGGCCCTGGGATCAGTGGAGCCACGAGGCCTCATGCCCCCGGGATCAGCGGAGCTGCAAGGCCTCATGCCCCCGGGATCAGCGGAGCTGCAAGGCCTCACCCCCCTGGCGCCAAGCAGAGCCACAAGGCCTGATGGCTTGGGGGTGGGGCTCTGGCCGGAGCCCAGCCAGAGCGAAGGCCTGGGTCCCGGGTGCCAGAGGAAAACTGGTGCCAGCAGCCTAGGGAAGGGAAGGCCTATTGCACGAATCTCTTCAGGCAACAGGCCTCTAGTTTGACAATAAAAGGGAAAAGAGGTCCGTGCCCCTGACTAAATAGTTAGGTATTGCTAGTCTTAAAAATTCTTGTGGCACATCAGTGTCCTGCGGCACACCAGTGGAAATCACTGAATTAGACTAACAGTTGACTTTAGGAGAAACATTAGATGAACAAGGAGACAGAGGACAATTAGATATTATCTTAAAAGTACTGAATAAAAAAATAACTCCCCCATTATGATTTTATGTCCAGTAAAACATCCTTTAAGAATGAAGGTGAGATGAATACATCACTAGAAGATGGGCACTAAAAGAGAAGTGAAAAGGAGAAAGAAATGCTCACAGATGGAAGTTCTTACTTTCTTCTGACCTATCCTGATTCGCTAATAATTTTTAACTCTGTCTAATTTGTGTTACACTCATCCACGGAAATCTAGTTTCAGCTATTGAATTTGCAATTGCAGATGTAGAAAAACATTGAGCAAAAAAAAAAAGTCAAATATGTAGGAAAATTTAAATTATTATTGACCTAATAGTGTTTCTATAATAATAATTGTCTTTACTATCTATAATAATTAAACCCATGACAATATTAACAAAATGATCTAAAGGTAAGCTGTGAGTCACTGAGTTTCAGTGGGAATTCGCACTGGGATCTTCTGGTACTCATTCTTAGCTAATGAGTATGAAGTGTGCTTGGGGCTGAGCTTTCCAGCAATCAGGATGGACCTAGACTCCCCTGGGCTTTTAGGTCAGACCTTCCAACCTATTGGCCACCTTAACGCACGAGCCTTTCTGAATGGCTACACCTGAGCCTTCTTTGTAGGTGGTGCTTTTAGCAATGTAATAACAGTCACAGAGAGAGATTTGTGAAGAAATGAGAGTGTAATTGTGCTAGAGGAAGTATGAAAGAATTAATGTACTACTTATTAGGAATTTGAAATTTTCACATTTTTCTTTCCTTCGTCATTTTATGGAGCATTTAGGGGATAAGAGCAAAAGTACTCTAAAAGTTTAGAAGAGGTTTCTGAAGTCATTATTTGCAGAGGCTTTTGAGTATTGAGCTTACAGATTTCTATTTATGCACAAAAAGTCTCCCATAGAAAAAGCAATGTCTGTTCACATGATTCAATGTTGTGGAACATTTTCTGTCTTGTGAATTTCTCCTGAGCTCAGAGTCATGCCCACCAACTCAGAAAAACAAGATGCACTCAGTGCCAGGAAAAGACAGAAACCAGGTAATGTTTTCTCTGTTCTCTCATGGTTTTCTCTGTGTTCCCTGTAGGACCCCTTTACCCTGATTCCCACCACTTCTTCTTATTCCTCTTCGGGCACTCTGTTCCCCCTCAGTCCTCTCAACTTATCTTTATTCTCCTGCTCTGGAGGTAGGAGAACATTTCTCTCTGACATGGTATTTGTTTCTGTTACCTTAAATGTTTTGGTCTGCTCCTCAAAACCACTTCTCTTTTTCCTTTTGGGAAATTTACACACTTGGATTGGGGGTAAAGAAAAGAGAATCTAATGATTCTTTGGCACCTCAATTGTCTTCAACACTATACTTAAGTTAGTAAGTTAAAAACTCACAACTTTTCAAAGTAATTGTTTTTAGTCTTCGTTTTACACGTGGGACAATTGAGACAAGTCTCTTTGCTATATCCCTTGCTGTAATCCTTGTTTCTGGTGCTGAAAGCCTATATTATACTAGAAACTTAGAGGTTTGGGGAGGCTGATACCTGAGAGCTGTCTGTTATAGTTGGGAGGAGATCAGAATATCACCTCGTGACTCAAAAAATAACCCTCTCCAAGCACTTCAAACATATAGGGTCCAGAAACAAATCTTTGTCATAGTTTTCACCCATAATTATGTATTCTGTGGTATGTGGAAGTTCAGAACAGGGCACAAGACACAGCCTTGGTGCAAACCTTTCCAGTGGGTGAAATTTTTATCCAGTATCCTTTCTATGTCTGGTTTCATGGGAGTCTAGGATGTCCAAGTCCCTTATTGGTTTCTATCAGATCTGTTCTCTGTGACTCCTCTCCTCCTGAGTCTCATCCATTCACTTGCTCATGCACACACACACTTCTGTTTTTAAATAACACTTTTGAGCAACTGCTTTGAGGCAGTTACAATTCCTAGGTGCTTTTGCATGTCTCATTCTAAGATGAACTCCTCTTGGGCAGCTTTTCTTTGGAAATGACCTAGTCAGCTACCTCCACCTAATTGTGACAGTAACTGAAAACATAAAGTGGCAGCATTCTCAGAGCTGTTTCCATTCCACACCTGGACTCACTAGCCTGAATAAACGAAGCACCGAGAACAGTAAAACTGTAGCACCAGGTGAAAGTGATGATTTTATTTACTTCTGTGGCCCTCAAATAGCTAATATAGTTCACCTCTACCTGTGAGGGAGTCTGGCCCAACAGGATACAATTTCCAGGTTTGTCCTCTGCAAGAGTTTTGTGCTTTGGCCTTTATTTGTAAGAGAGGATGTTTCCCCAAAGTTCAAGGAATTTCTAGTGCTAACAGTGGGGCTCCATTTGGAGATGAGTAGAACAGAGGGGAGCTTTCTTTCTGCTGCCCTCCGAAATGATAACGGGTGGTTCTCTGTCTGAATTTCATGGTTTGATTCCTTGCTTTTCCAGCATCTTCTGCCACTGGTGTACTGCTCTCCGGATGAATCCAGTCACTATAGCTAGAGCATGAGTGGTGGGTAAAAGAAAAAAAATAAAGTAATTGCAAGAGCAAATGCAATCCGCACATGATTGGAAGTATTTAGGTTGTTAAAAATGATATGTACAATTGACCCATGCATTTTCCTCTTTTAGAAATCAAAGAAGAGAACTATATCAACAGGAATTTTTAAACTTCACCTTACTACCAAATTCTCACACTGATATTTATTTAAACTTATTTGTCTTCTGGGCTACTGGATTTTCAAAGGTTTTTTTTTAATTCAGTGTTAGTTATTGCTCAACGAGGCGAGAAATGCAGGTAATGTGGAATTGATTCCTAAGAGTAGCTTTAGGCGTGTGTGTTGTTTGGATAAGCAGTGGGGGAGAAAGCATGGCTTTTGAGAAATTGAATGTGCTGGTCTTGTAGTATGAACACAAGAGATAGAGCAGGACATGAAGGTCAAGATGGTGTGGTTAATAGTGTTGAAGGGTTATCCTGAGCTGATGGTTGTAATCTGGGTTCTTGGATCAGTTGGAAAAAAGGGTCAAGCTTTTGAAAGTTAGTGGATAGTCTCTATTTACAAGTGTCATGAAGGCTTGACAAGAGCTGACTGAATAGATCACACAAACGGTGCATGGAGATTATGACCAGAATATGTTTTCATATCAGTCAACAGTGTCTTGTGATAAATTACATTGTATCTGGGATATCTCTGTGCTTCTTTGTCTCTAATTAGCTCCCTTTCTCCTCACTGGGCAGATGTCCAGCCACTACCCCTCTTCACTTTCCATTAATGATCTCATTTAAATACTTAGTGAAAACAAAAGCCATCAGATGAGAAGTGCTTCCTTCCTAACACCAAATCTACTGACTGCATGCGTGTTTGATGGATGAAGAAAACCTATTCTCACTTAAGGCCATCCATGCTCTGCTTCAGCTGTGA